TTAGTTTAGGTTTAGTTACGTGTCTCTACTCTACTAGGTGGGGTGGGGGGGGGTGGGATTACGGTGTGTGTGTGTGTGTGTTTGTGTGTATGTTTATATATATGTGTATGTTTGTGTGTATGTATATATATATATATGTGTGTGTGTGTGTATGTGTATATATATATACGTGTTTGTATGTTTGTGTGCATGTGTATATATATATATGCGTATGTTTGTGTGTATGTGTATATGTACATGTTTGTATGTTTGTGTGCATGTGTGTATATATATATGCGTATGTTTGTGTGTATGTGTATATATATGTGTTTGTATATTTGTGTGTATGTATATATATATATATGTGTGTGTATGTTTGTGTGCATGTGTGTATATATATGTGAGTGTATGTTTGTGTGTATGTGTATATGTGTGTGTGTATGTTTGTGTACATGTGTATATATGTGTGTGTATGTTTGTGTACATGTGTATATATGTGTGTGTATGTTTGTGTGTATATGTGTAGTTATATGTGTGTGTATGTGTTTATGTGTATAAATTATTGTGATATAAACATAGGTTACGTTTATATGTCAAGATGAGTCCACATTACACACACGTTACATGTACGTATAGATTACTTGACGTAACTGGTTACTGCTTTTTGTTTTGTTTTTTCAACATTTTATTTATTGTATTTCTGGATCTTTGGCCTCAGCTACCGGAGATAAGAGCCTATTCTAACCTGGAACGGAGCTGATGTTACCCGCGGTTGCAGTGGCGAGATATATCCCTGACCAGCTAATAGTCAGATATTCACCTCTTCTCGTTGTGATCAAGCAAGACTGGTACGCTCAACATTTCAATATTCACCATGTTTGGTTACGACCCAGCATCTTCGGGTATAGACCTGAGCAACTTGTATCAATCTTGCATGGAAGAAAACTTCATGGGGAGTCAGTTCGACATCCCTCCTAACCATGACCTGCTAGAAATGGTCCCTTTACCTGAGCTTCAAGTACCGCAGTATCCCACCGGACACACTTCAGTTTATGAACAATCATATCACCCCTTAAATCCTTCATCACCCCTTGATTTTGTATCCCAGAGTTCTCCTTCCCTGGATTCACCACATTCTAGCGCATCTTCTCCACAACAACATACACCCACAAGTGTTCAAGCGACTCGCTCACAGCTGATAAAGGAGGGTCTCAGAGTGACTATCCAAACTAAAAGAATGGCCCAAGGGAAAGGTCAGGTCCAGCCAGAATACAGGGATCCACCTCAAGAAAGAGTAAGTTAATACATAAAACTAGGAAACGAGAGCCATATTGACCACTGATGTAAAAAAAAAAAAACTGAAATCTTTGGATAGGCCATATATATATATATATTGTGCTCTTAATCATATGGTAAAAAATGTTACGTTACCATAGTGTGTTTGAAAAACATATTTCAAACAATTTTGGTAATGTTGCCGTTATTGTGAAATAATATTACTGGCTGAATGAAATATAATCTCTTTGTTTACACAACGGTTTATAACTTTAAAAAACATGATTTTAAACATTTTGTACATAGTTTGCCACGTCTAAAAATTTTTACTCCAGATTTTCTATGTATACAAATAATATTTCAAACTTAAAATTAATCAGTACTAATAATAAGACAAATCTCTGTTCCTAAGCCTTTTTCCTAAGTAGGTAAATGCAGGTAATGGTAATTCATATTGTAGATTGCCAATTCGTATATAGTTTTAGAAACAACAAATCCTATAGTAATATCCTCAGTTCCAAGTAATTATTTTTCAGTTGAATGCATATCAACAAGTCATAATCAACACCATATAAACATACGATGAAACTACAGATGATCATACCAGTTAGTTTTATGTCAAGTATAGAAACATGTATGTATGATATGGGGTTAACTCTATTAACCTGACACAAATTTTTAATATATATTGAGGTAAATATTATATCTAATTGAACCGAATTCCTAAATAAGTTCACAAATGATGATCTGTATAGGTTTCGTTATCACGTGCTTTGTTTTGCTACTTGTACTCGGTGAATGGGGTATTTTTTTAATTAGTATAACGTATTTATATTCAGCTTTACTAAAATTGTCAATGTTTTCGTGTAAAAGTACATGCAAACTCAGACGTCATCTCTCTCTCAATTTCTCCTGAAGAAGAAAGGTCCACATTTCGAAAGCGCTCGGGGTTTTTAGGTTTTTTTTATTCATTTCTATCAAGACTTCTTGAACCTACGTGTTTTTCTAACATCATGTACATATACTGTTGTATAATATTAAAAGTCATATTTAGGAGTGAAGAAATGTATTTGAATAGTTTTAGTATATAATAACAAACAAAAGTATTTAAAAGGGCTACCTAAGTTGGAAGTGTCACTCCCTGAATTCTATTGTGCTTGATTTGAAACATAATCCAGGCCACGTTGTAATTATCAGTTACGGAAAAGTTTTTTGTTTTATTTATATAAATAACCTTTTGTTCTCTGTAGAAACACTACAACTATGCTTTGATTGCTTATTTTGTCCGTTTTTGTGTTTGATATCATTCGATACCCGACTCAAACCATAAACTAAAATGGAAAACAGAAGTTTTTTATATTTGTGTGGAAATATCTGGATGTTTAATCTGATAGAATGTTACATATTTTTCTACACTAGTCATTTATGTTACACGTTAGGCTTAGTACTAGGGTTTGTGTATTTATGAAAAACCTTTTGTATAGAAAAGATTATTTTATTTAGTGGTAAATTTTCGCAAAGAGAAAATGATTAAGTTTACAGATAACATTTTTCAAGGAAAGAAAATAAATTGATTTAGGGACAATTTTTCTCAAGCAAAAACCGGATTTGGATTTGTTTAAGTAAAAAAAATATCAACTGTAGATATAGCTTCATTTTTTTCAGAGAAAAGGATAAATAAGATTATTATAAACTCGGGTTTGTGTGGTTAAGCATTACGTCTTTATTCCGATGAGATATTTGTCATTAGTTAACTGTAGAAATACATTGGTAGTTTCATAAATCTAGTATTCTGTTGCCTCTGAAAACAAGATTTTTTTCTCATGTATTCCATTAGTGCCCGACAATACGCATTATTTTATAATTCATGAAAAAAGTATGAGCATACTTCCTCCAAGACGCACGTTTTCCTATCCTTATAGATACAATATGTAAGAGAGACATGTTACTGTCTTAACTTTGACCTAGTCAGTAGTCCCAGTTAGTTAAAAATGGGATTTCGATACTCGCGGTGGGCACAACATAGATAGCCCATATGTTTAACAACAAACAAAACAAATTGTTAAAAATATCCCCCACTTTTTTGTCTTTGTGAAAGAGTTTGAAAGCTCTAAAAATCGATTTACGAACAACTTTATTATTGTCAATAATATTTTAACAATATTAATATTTGTAGATTCAATATGCAATAAATTTCATAACATAATCTTCATTAGTCACTAGTGCTTGATTTCGAATGAGACTCTTCATTAGTCACTAGTGCCTGATTTCCGATGAGACTCTTCATTAGTCACTAGTGCCTAATTTCGGATGAGACTCTTCATTAGTCACTAGTGCCTGATTTCCGATGAGACTCTTCATTAGTCACTAGTGCTTGATTTCAGACGAGACTCTTCATTAGTCACAAGTGCTTGATTTCAGATGAGACTTTTCATTAGTCACTAGTGCTTGATTTCGAATGAGACTCTTCATTAGTCACAAGTGCTTGATTTCAGATTTCACGTGTTTTTTGCCACAGAACTAAATATTGTTCTGAAACATCTATCCGAACTATCAGAATTTTGTCCTTGTCTGCCTGTTTTTGGTGTAATGTACCATTCTATGCAACAATTGCTCAAAATATAGTTATCTCAAACATGTCTAGAACTAGCTAGGGTCGTTATTGTCATTTTTATCTTGTGATCGTGAAAAAAATTGTTATTCTAAAGATGCTGGAAAGGTTTTCCTGACTCTTTCTATAAATCTTAATACTTCTCGTATTTATCATGTTAAAACTGATAAAAAAATTTCAGACTAGTCATTTTAGGCTATTTCGTGGGTGTCGTTTACTATAGGAAATTGATCAGACTTTGTTTACAGTATTTACCATCGTTTGATAGATTTATTCAGAATTTATGTATATTTTCATAAATAGTTATATTCACAAGCAGCGCCTTAATACTTACTTTGGAGTTTAATTCACACTGAGAGTGAAAAATCTGAATAAATTTCATATATAAAAAATGATATGAAATCTAATTATTTTTACAGACAAAGAGGCGCAATTAAATTGTATATTTCCTTAAAATTAAAGAAATGGTTGATATGCAAGAGAAACTTTGGGCTATAAAAAATGAACGATTTTCACCTAAAATTTATAATAAAAAAATTGTCTTTCTGAGCATCTTGTACAATTGTGTTATTTCTGAGTTTACCGCTATACAAGTCATATTTGTTTTCATCTTACTATAATGGACGTAGCTTGTATGTCAGTATCTATGTATGTAACCAAAACTGCTGCACCATCTATTGAATGGCTCTACAAACAAAAATCCATAAAAAAATTTCACACTTTGGGTATTCAAGATCCAGACAATTAGAAAAATAGCCGTGGTATGTGCAACACCCATTTCTTTATATAAGAACACAATTTTAAATAAAACAACAACAAGAACACGACTTTCACTAGGACTGTACATGAGAGTTTGATTATATCTTTATTGATGTAATTTTTAAATGTAGTACTGACAAACTGGAGTTCTTGAAAAACTATTATTTTTTTCAATAAACGGTACCACTGTTGATATATAAAAACATTACAGTATATACCAGTAAAATTTGTTAACATTTTGAGATCTCTACATTAAATCATTTTGATGCAATGAGTTGCATAGGACTAAAGAGCACAGTTTGAATAATTTTCCCGTGCAGTACTTCTCATAAAAAAAAAAATCTTCTTTTAGAGAATATTCATGTTTTCGAAATTTCTTTCGATGAGGTATGAATACTATGATTAGTAATTACTAACACAAACAGTCGGCCATAGGCTGGCGTTTCTGCTACTTTAATCAAAAATGAATGGTATATCAGCTAGCACTGCACACAAAAATATTAGAAATTAACAGATCGTATATTATACATGATGCTTCTAGGGAGCATAAATTCTTAACATGAAACTGTAACTTATAGCTCTACAGCCTGTAACAGCGTCGTTTTCTTCAGTATATATCGTTACGTATTAGAATTTCGAATAGTCCGGAGCCGAGTTAACTGATAATTTAAATTTAGTAGTTAAATTGTACTTTGGGTTTATTATTTAAATATATGCCGATATTGTAGTC